TTAAAAAAACGCGCTAAGTACACTACCTCACGGGTGGCGTGGAAACGTGTGCATATTATGGAGGAGAACACAACTTTTTGAGTCGCTATATCTCAGTAATGGTGATTCTTATGTAAACAAGTGTAAGAACAATTTTTTATAGATAATTGCATGATCTACAATTTTTATCTGATCTATTTTTGTGATAAAACTTACCGTTTGGCCGAAAAATGCAAAAAACTCATATTTGCGAACTTCGACCTTGAATAAATTTTTTTGCACATGTAGTATCGATGGGGACTTTTCACATTTCATTTACAATGGTGTTCCCAATATTCGTAACAATTTTCAGCTTTATGCGAATTATTGTAACCTTGAATGTCTATTTGGACAGGGCTACATTAAATTAGTTACGTTGGATAAAATTATCAAGAAACATTCATTCTTGTTTCGGCATTTGTTTGATATTTAGTGCAGTTGATTTGAAATAGATGCCATAAGTCATAATTTTCGGTTATACATATAAATTACATATTAAATATTAACAATTGAATTTAAAACTTGTACATATGTGCAGGTCATTCACATAACACCTCCTCATCTTTTTTACTTTTGGTAAATACGAATATTTTAGGAAATTTTCTTGCAATTTTAAAGCAATATACAGGGTGCTTTGCTTCACTTCTGAACGAACATTTCGAAGTATTTCGTGTTGACGACACTCCAACAATTCACCGACGAAGCGCCTCAAGTGAGTTCCGTCGTGTTGCATAAATTTTCAGTGTCCCCATAGAAAAAAGTCTAAGGGCGTTAGATCAGGCTATCGGGGAGGCCATGCAATCGAACCTCTGCGTCTTATCCAGTGATTTGGAAAGTTCTGATTAAGAAAATCACGCACAGCTACGGCATAATGTGGTGGAGCACCATCTTGCTGAAACCACACATCCTCTTCTGGCAAAGCGTTGTCATTTTCCAATACTTCCACAATCCGATAATTGTGGTAGATATTCATTTCCAGTAGATTCAGATACATGTTTCCATCCAGATTTCCCGGTAGGAAGAAAGGTCCTATAAGAGAGTCTCTTACAATCAATATGCCCGCCCAAACATTCAATTTCCTCGGATGCTGTGTATGAGTTTCATGAGAAATGCGTGGATTTTCATCACTTCAGTATCGGCAATTATTGGAGAAACATATTGAGTATAAAAAATTTGGATTCCTTGAAGCACGATCACTCATTTCTTCACAGAACTGCAATCAGCGATCAGGATCGTCTTTATTAATTTCTTTTACAAAATTAATTTTGTATTTTGTACGGGTGATATTTATGGATTTTTAAGGAGGTTTATCTGATTTGGAATTGACGAACAAATATTCATAAAAAAATTATTATAAGCTTATTAATATGAAGAAAATTTAAAAAAAAAATTATGACTAGTTTGGATACCTAAGAGATGAGATATTAATAAAATTACTTTTCACGATTTAGTACAGAGTCTTATGAGAATGCAGATTTTTTTGGTCTTTCCACTTAGAATGTGCAACAATTGACGAACAGTTTCCACAGCAACTTGTATAAATAGGAAACCGATATCTAAGGAACCGTATGACATCTCGTAGGAATCGATTAGGTACTTGTAAGATACATAATTAATAATAATTCTCCTTCAAACTTCTGCCGTTGACTAACTTAACTTCCATATGCGTAATAACGGCAACGCCGCGGTTCTCGAAGTAGCGTCTTATTTGAAATTCGTAGGTGTGACATATGATGTATATTTCAAGCTTATAGACCGGGAGATATTAGACTGAAGTTCGACGACGTCTTTCTCGTTTATGCCTCTGAAAGTACTGAAAGGTAACCTAGAGACAAGTACAATAAACTAAATTTAAAAGATGGGCTGCGGGACACCTTTGTGAAAATTCAATTTTCCTTTTCAAAAAAATAATGTGTACAGCGACGTATTTCTCACTTATGCCGTGTTGAAGAGAAGTATCGATTTTATCACAAAAATTTTTTGGCATAAGTGTCGCAAAGGACCTAAAAATGGAAAACTTTGTAAGAAAATGTGAAAAACATCTTTATTTGTCTACCAATTTCTCATTAATGCCAATTAGAAATATGACATTATTATATTCGAAAAGCTTATAAAAAACATTGGCATAAGTCCTACTAAGTACTAAAGAAAATAGGGCTTTGGAAAAGCTGCGGAAAATTTTTCGTTTTGCTCAACGTTTTTCTCGTGAATAAATTAAAGCTTATTGCAGAGAAAAAAGTGAAAGTATTAATTTTTTTAAAGGGCATAAGTCCCTGGTGAGGACTATATGCTAAAAAATTTTTGAAAAGTTGTAGGAAAATTCATGAAAATTGTTACGTCTTTCTCGCTTATGCCATTTTGCATGCACGTAGGAAACTACATTATAAAGTCATATTAATGTAGGCATAAGTCCACATTGGGTTTTCATGTAAATTATTTTGAATTTTAATACGAGTCAGATCAACGAAGTAGAAAAATAATAGAAAATTGCCACAATTTTCTCGTTTATGCCGTTTCGTACACGAGTAGAAAATATTATTAAAAGCCATTTTCAAGAGTGGCATAAATGCCACAAGGTACCGTCGTATGTAAAAATTTTTAAAAAGTTTATTTCATCGCCTGCGCAATTTTCGAAATACTTATACTTACTTGCATTTAGCGTATTTTTAATTTTATAAATATAAGTAATTCATGTATTTAATGAAAGTTAATAATAAACTATTTCGGCATAAATCCCCACATATTAGAAATGATTTTTAATAATTTTTTGAGTCATGATCAGAAAAAGAAAAATTATATAATATTGCTACAAATTTCTCGTTTGTGCCTATTCGTAAATGAGTAGAGTATTTTATCACAATAGACCATACGTATTTATGAACAATATATTTAAATTTTAAAAATTAAGAGTATATAATTTGAATTAACCGCTACAGTGCAAAGATGATCTACTTGCATTGAGCGGTAGAAGAAGAAGAAGACGGAGAAAGAATTAAGCTAGAATACATAGGGAAGAAACTGATTTATAACTGATTTAATGAATATTATATATTGAATTTTGTTTTTTTGTTTTTGGTACTTTGTACCTTCATTAATTAATTTGTACTTTTATACATTTTATTTTTATATTAAAAGATTTATTTAATAGTAATTGAACTGAAAAACCGCTGCTAACTCAATTGTCAGAATGCTTCCTCAAAGACTTTGAATTACTAATTTTTAATTATAATTAACACAAACAATAACACTTAAAATAATACAAATTTTTATTAACTTAAAATTAAAGCATATCAAAAATATAAGTTTTTTTCGATTTTATGTTTTTTCACATTTTCAAATTTCAAACAGTTTTATCTCCAGCTCTTGATGAACGAAAATATATTTTAACGGATCAAAATAAAGACCTTACTACCATACCAGCTTTATTATAAGTTATTAAGAATTATCATAATAAAAAATAACATGTCGAAAAATCAAACTAAACCCAATACAAAGCTTTCTCTTTTTCATGTATTTTTTTTTATTTTAAATTTTTTATTGCCTTTTGTAGTTAGAAATATTCATTTTTTATATAGATATCTTCTCCGATACTTGCATTATTTATGATACATTTTTTAACTTAATTTAAGTATATCGAAAATTTCGCAGGCGAGGAAATAACTTTTTAAAAAATTTTACATACGACGGTACCTTGTGGCATTCATGCCACTCTTGAAAGTGGCTTTTAATAATATTTTCTACTCGTGTACGAAACGGCATAAACGAGAAAATTGTGGCAATTTTCTATTATTTTTCTACTTTGTCGACCTGACTCGTATTAAAATTCAAATTAATTTACAACATGAAAATCCAATGTGGACTTATGCCTACATTTATATGACTTTATAATTTAGTTTCCTACGTGCATGCAAAATGGCATAAGCGAGAAAGACGTAAACATTTTCATGAATTTTCCTACAACTTTGAGACTTATGCCTTCATATTTTTCGCAGCCTTTCCAAAGCTCTATTTTCTTTAGTCCTTAGTAGGACTTATGCCAATGTTTTTATGAGCTTTTCGAATAAAATAATGTCATATTTCTAATTGGCATTAATGAGAAATTGGTAGACAAATAAAGATGTTTTTCACATTTTCTTACAAAGTTTTCCATTTTTAGGTCCCTTGCGACACCTATGCCAAAAATTTTTTGTGATAAAATCGATACTTCTCTTCAACTTACGAACATGGCATAAGTGAGAAATACGTCGCTGTACACATTATTTTTTTGAAAAGGAAAATTGGATTTTCACAAAGGTGTCCCGCAGCCCATCTTTTAAATTTAGTTTATTGTACTTCAGTACTCTTAGAGGCATAAACGAGAAAGACGTCGTCGAACTTCAGTCTAATATCTCCCGGTCTATTAGGCATCCAAACAAAGCCAGCCAAGTGCAACGTTGCCAAATCTAAAGGCTTACTACTTCAGTCACTAGCGAATCTACAGAAACTCTCGTCAGACTTTAGACGTACCTCCGTATCCGATAAACCTCCTTAAGTTTCGGCGGCAACTAGGTACAGAAAGTCCTGAAGTAACTTGCACGGTTCCAGAGACTCGAATTTGGTTCCATTCAGCGCCGGATTAAGCCTCGGTGGGGCCTGGGGCTTGAAGGGAAGGGGCCCTCTTAAGGGTAGAAAAACAGCAAAAACCAAAAAAAATAATTTTATATTTAATGTATTATTAAATAACATGGTAGAATAAATTGTTTTATGTTAAAATATTTATTTTGGCAACGAGAACAGAACACATTAAACGTAAATTATTGACCTTCCTTTTAAATTAATTTAGTATGCTATTTTCTTAATATTAAATTTTATATGTAATACAACATACATTTCCAATGAAAATGATTTGTTCAGGTAAAAAATAGCATTAGAAATTGTCAATAAGTATTTTTATTACCATTCATTACTTAGTCTGTTTCTTTTTTTTTAATTTTTCCAATAGCATGTGGGGCTCCCGGAGCCTGTGGGGCCCGGGGCTACAGCCCCTGCTAGCCACCTTGTTAATCCGGCGCTGGTTCAATTACGATGTAACCCAGGACAGCTACCTGATTACTCTCATTACGTACGATCTATTCACATTGATGCTTTCCGTTTGCAACCGATTCAGTTTATGCAGTAAATCCAGAACATACCGATGCGATGTGTTTTTTGTCAGGAAAAATATGTACTGACATACGATATATGACAAGACGAGAAATATTGTATCGTTTAAAGTAAAACAAGTAAAAAAAATGAACGGATAGAGTATGAAGTTTTTGTAGTGACAGATAAACGAAAAATCAAAACACATTTTTTCATCGAAAAAATGTTGAAGGAGTAAAGTGAAGTAAAGATTTTATTATTGTATGGAAGCGGAAGGAAACCAATTTGAACATTTAATAAAATAACATTGATATTTTGTGTTATGCTTTAAGTGATGATTTTATTGTCCAAACCAAAATTTAAAAAGTCGTATGTCGGCGTGAGCAGAACTGAAAAAGCTTTAAAATGCGGTATCACTCAACATAGAGTGTCATTTAAAGTTTAAGAGGTATTTTACGTCCCTGCCTAGGGGGTAGCTTCTATGACACTAAAAATTTCGCCATCATGTGCGCCCCTTAAAAAGAAATTCGACGTGTCTCAGTTTTTTTTTAATTTCATTATATCCCAGGTGGGAAGTTTTAATTGAAACACCCTATATACAGTGTAGAACAGCCAAATCGAATAAATTATTCTGCATATTTATAAAAAATTACGAGACACTTCGCTTTTGGATTCTAAAATGACATCCCGCAACGTACAAAATTTTAACCCTAAATTCAACCCACTTTCGAGTGGCAGTTGGGAACTCTAAATTTTTAAATGGGTAGTAGGGGCTTGTGATGCCTCATTTGAAAGGTCTTTTCGTTCTTTATTCAAAAATTCTAATAATAAAAATGTATAATTAAGAAAAATAACAATTTAAGTGTATGCTTATTTGTAGTTAATATTTACGTTTTTTCATTTACAGCAATATTGGTTTTATACCCTTACTTGACGATTCATATGCGAGAATTAGGAATAAATGTGGAGGAAACGGCTATAATGTCAGCTGTATCACCAGCAGCAGCAATCTTAATGCCACCGTTAGCAGGCATGATTGCTGATAAAATAGGAAATTTTAGGGTAAGAAATAGTTTGTTAAAAATAATCATATATTGTTTGTAAAAATCTGCTTTAAACATGTGTAGAAAATGTACTGGGCACACGTGTTGTCATTAATTATAACATACAGGCTTATTCGGTAACACTGTTACAAATTTTGGCAGTAGAAAGTTTTACCTACACATTTTCTAATGGCATTACAAAAAAATTAGGTCAAGCCATTAACCACAGATTCTTAGGGTGAAAATAACGAGAGTCTGCTAATGACAATTTTCATTTAGACGCTTGTTTTTCAAGATATTATTTTTATTATTATACAGGGTGTTTTTGGATGGAGTATCATAAATGATACCAGTGAAGCTACATTTCACAAGAACACGATCTGCAAAAAATCGCCTTAGTAAAATGTTCACCCCTGAAGAGATATGGACCATCAGTTTCCAAAAAAATTATGAAAATTGGCTGTAATTTGAAAACCGAACGAGGTACAAATAACAAATTTTTTACAGGTTGTTTACTAATACAGATGCGAGTTTTCAACTATTTTTCGAAAATTTTAACCCCTCGAAAGGGGTTGAAATAACCACCCCTCAAGC